GTGTAGATAAAGTTTGATCGTTAGCCGTCAGAGTGTAGATAAAGTTTTACCGACGAGCAGACCGTGACATTAATGATCCGTTGCTCCACTATTCATCAACACCGTCTGGTATAAAAACAGAGAGGCAGACCTTTCCATCAGCGGTGACAGCGAACAGAGTCTGTTCCCCCCCGATCAGCTGCACCGGCCTCAGCGTCGCGAGGGCTTCGGTGGGCGTGGGCACCTTCACCTTCGCCCCCTCGATGCCGCCCAGCTGACCCCTGTGGTTGTGGCCCCAGCCGTAGATGGTGCCGCTGCCCCCGGCAGAGAGGGTCCAGTCGTCCGGCCGCCGGTTCATCCACTGCACCAGCTGCTCGTCGTGCTCGCGCTTGAACAAGTCGTGACTCTCGTGGAGGCCGTTCATGCTCTCGTGATCCGCCATGAGCTCCCGGATCTTCTTTGTGACCTTCAACAATAAAAAGGGGGATCAACAACATTCTCGTATCGATGCGCGACGAGGAGGAAAAGTAAGTGACGCACGCTCACCTCATCCAGGAAGGGTCTCGGTAGAGAGGTCCTCTTGTCCAGAGCCACAGTGACTCTGGAGGCCGTGCAGTACCGGCGGAACCAGGCCCACTTATGAGTCTCGGCACAGCAGGGGAGAGTATCGAGCTCTAGATCGCAGGCCAGAGCCACCAGGACCTGAACACAACGTTCAAATGAGCCTCGTGAGCACCCTCCACAGCGTTGGTGAGTGTAAACCGTTGGAAGCATACCTTGAAAAACGGGCTGTGCAGGAGCTGCTTCCCTCCTCTGACGATGGGGTCCTCGTACTCGTACTGCCTCTGCAGAGCCTCTGGGAGCCCCTTCACCAGAGCAGCCAGAGCACTGCCGGTGAAACTCTAGAAGAACAAGATCAATTAGATTATTGTTAGAAATACAGGCCTCATTTAACTTGATGTAATAACTAACTTTAAATATCAGTTGTTTGTTATAGTAACAGTTCTCAACACAACATAGAAGCATTGCAGTCAGTGATACGGAAGCCCTGAGAGGGAAGACAGGAAATACAATTCTGATCGTTTATGACTTCAGAACAGGTGAAACAATCTTTTACCTGGAGAAACATTGTGTCATCTGAGAAAACAGGGAAAAACAGGAGTAATATTGTGAGGTATAAATAATTTCAGGAAATTTTTTCACAAACGTCTTTGTTGTTGTTGTTGTAATACTCATTTGGCCACAAGAGGCAGAAGTGCACCACTAAATGTTCTCAACAGAACTCAAAGCATTCATGTTTTCTTCACATAACTTTCTAACACATACGCACCTAAAACTCTCAAAATGATCCTGACAAAAAAATACCGATGAAAAGAACAACTTTTTTTCCTGCCTGTTTTCACATATTGTTTAAAGATTGTTATTTTGTGCCATAAACAGAGAGAGGGGACGACAGACAGCCGTCTAGTGGCAGCAAAGGGCCACAAAAGAGATTATTTTTAAAACTATAAACACAGTAAAGAAAACTACAAGATATATACTATAAGCACAAGACTTTTGCTTCTTTCTGGTCTCTCAGGGCTTCCGTAGCTTTGACACATTTGGGTGAAATATGTTCAACATTAATAAGTGAAACAAGGTGTTATAATAGTAACAACAGCCACGTTCCAATCAGCATCATGTATTACTGCAATAGCCATCACATATAACATCTTATTATTCTTCAGATCATCGTTATGTACACACAGTAAACATTTCTCCGTGCTCACCATGGAGCGAGCCTCGCCCTCACTGTCTCCCAGCAGCCGGTTGATGTTGATGGACTGACCGTACTCGGTGGTCAGAAGCTTCCGTAGTCTCTGCAGAGCCCACATCCTGTGTCCAGCAGCTGGAAGGGAATGAATCACATGCAACATGAATATATATATATTTCACTGATATCTCACTATGACTACGTTTACATAGACCAAATATATTTTGTTTTGGGCGTCTCTGCAAACTGTTGGTAATTGGTTTGTGTTCATCTACTGTACAGGACGTAAACGGCATATCCAGGAGTCAACCTCCGCTTCTTTAAAGTTCTTCAGTGCTTCACGTCTTAAAGCTGCATTCTCTCTAGTGACCAGCAGGGGGTTGTATAGAAGTCTATGAGAAAATGACTCTACTTCTCTCTTGATTTATTACCTCAGTAAACATTGTAAACATGAGTTTATGGTCTCAATCTCTAGTTTCAAGTCTTCTTCAATACAGCATGATGTTCATTTAGTACATTATGGTCCATTTAGAGTCAAACAGACCATAAAGCAGGGGATGCTTTAGGGCGGGGCTACACGGTGTTTGACAGGTCTCTACCAGAGACGTATACGCCGTCTCTACGTCACTCCTCCTCAGTCCACATATGGTCACTTCCTGTTCACTGGTTGCAAAAAAACAACATGGCGATGGACAAATCGCCGAACTCGAGGCTTCAAAACATCAACAAACCAACGAGTGACGTCATGATGACTACTTCTTATAAACGGTCTATGGGTACATCCCTACTACCCTACCTAATGTCTACAGGACCCAACTCGGAATACCCAAGCGGAATATGGTGCCAACATGACTCGGATCAAATTGAGAATATTGAAAAATACTAAAATATTAGAGTGTTAACATAGTCGATGTCATGGTGGATCAGGACCATCATACTGTACCTAGTGCACTCAGCTGGGCACAAGCAGCGAGGGAAGCAGCCAGTCGAGGCACGATGCTCCTGTTGGAGGCAAAGTTGAGCCTGAAGTCCAGCAGACAGGTCACCAGGTCCATGGAGGGACAGGACAGGATGCAGCGATCGGACAGCAAGTCTTTGGGACCTGAAGGACGACACCATGAAAAGACTCGGTGTCAAAAGCCTCAGCAGTAGTGGAGTAACAGATCCCCCTCACAGTTCAACGTTAACCATCAGAGTGTAAATAAAGTTTTATCGTTAACCATCAGAGCGTAAATAAAGTGTTACTGACTCAGTAGAACATGTGTTTCTAGTCTCTGATCTCTGATCATGTTTCATTGTAAACAACCAATCAGTGTGCCAACAGGAGGAGAGCTAGTGACGTTAGCAGCACTGCTAACGGCTAACCAACAGGAGGAGAGCTAGTGACGTTAGCAGCACC